CCTCTTTGCCCCCAGGTAGGCCACGGGGGTTGGACTGTACAGGGAGCCTTTTCAGCAACTTTCGCCGCTCCGCTCCGCGCTGGGGGCCCTGAGCGAAGGCCAGGGCGCCTTGGAGGAAGCGACCTGAATCCCCGTGGGAGCCTGCGGCCTGCGCGCGTTTTCCCGAAGACACAGCAGCCTCCATGGAGCGGGGATGGTTCTCGGTTGGGCTAGTGGCTCGTGGGGGCCACAGGTGCGCTCAGGCCATGGCGAACGCTCCCAGGCGGAGAGGGCTGGGGGGGATCAGGGCCTTCCTCGCTATTGAGCGCCCCCGCCTTGCGCGCACTGCCCCGGCCTGGCCAGCCCTCGCGTGAGCCCTGGGGTTGCGGGTCTGGCGCTTTAGTATTGCCGGGGATGGTTCTCGGTTGGGCTAGTGGCTCGTGGGGGCCACAGGTGCGCTCAGGCCATGGCGAACGCTCCCAGGCGGAGAGGGCTGGGGGGGATCAGGGCCTTCCTCGCTATTGAGCGCCCCCGCCTTGCGCGCACTGCCCCGGCCTGGCCAGCCCTCGCGTGAGCCCTGGGGTTGCGGGTCTGGCGCTTTAGTATTGCGCTCGGAGGCCGGCGGGGGAGGCCGTTGGGGGGCCTCCGGGAGCTGGGAGGAGGCGGCTGCGCGACGGACTCCGGTAGGGCAGGAGTCCCTTAGCCGCCCTATTCTCCAGACTGGGCCCCGGGGAAGCAGGTGCTTGCAGCAAACGCGTATCCCCTGGCCCGTGCCTTGGCTGGAGCCGGACGGGAATTTGGCGTCAGTTCAGGGCGATGGGGACGCGGCCCGTAGGTTTTCCAGGGGAGCGGGGAAGGGGGAAAGGCGCCAGGCGGTGACCCCGAACACACTGCGGCAGGCTCTGGGGAGCGGGCCCGGGGCAGGACCAGACTAGACGGGCAGATGAGCTAGGAAGGCGCTGGGCTCGGAAAACAGCCTTGACTGTGTTTCAAAACAGCAGGACGCCGCACATCCTGCCGGGAGAGCGCCGCCCCAGCGTTTCGGACACCCCGGC